GCATCCCAGGGAAAGCAGGGCTCTGTCAGTGTGTGCTGGATCAGGAAACTCCCAAAGGACAAGAAGTCGTGTTTCAGCCTACATCAGTATCCAAATAGCCCAAACTTTGGGCCTCACCCCCTTTCTGCCAGTCCTGCTACCCTCTACCCTTCCAAGCCATCTCTCTTGTTCCCTAGCCCATGATAGACTGCAGGGCAGTGTAGGGACTGTGCAGGGGGAGGGGTGGTTGGGGGTGACAGGAAGAAGCCCACCCACCTTATGAGTGAGGGGCAGGAAGAGGTGGAAGGCTGCCTTCGAGGATGATACTGAGCTGAGCCCTGGAGGACTAGGTGCAAGCCAGGCCAGGCTTTAGGAAGGGACATTCCTGCACAGGAAGGCGCGGGAGTGAGGATGGGGTGGCAAGGGGTGAGGGTGTGGTGAGCTAGTGTGACTCCAGGTGTGGTTTGGTGTGCCAAGGAGAGCTCTCACTCTGCTGCTGGCCCCTTTGGAAGGCTTCCACAGCACCTTGACTTTTCTTGCTTCAAAGAACATTCCCTTCAGTGCTACATTCACACAGAGCTGCCACGACTTCCTCTTGGGGATGGGATGGACATTCCTGTTGAGGACGGGGACTATGTCTTCTTTTTTTTTTTATTTAAAAATTTTATACATACCCATATTTAGTGGTCGATGGACACAGTACCTTTTTTTTATTTGTTTTTATGTGGTGCGGAGGATCGAACCCAGTGCCTCACACTTGCTAGGCAAGTGCTCTACCACTGAGCCACAACCCCAGCCGTTGGACTCTGTCTTCTTCAGTGGGGCTCCCAGCAGTCTTTGTGTAGCACATTGTGGACACACATTTCAGCTGGGCTGGGGATGTGGCTCAGTGGTTAAGCATCCATGAGTTCAATTCTGGGTACAGAAAAGAAAAGAAAAGAAACATACATTTCATTCCATCATGGGAACTAGAAACATTTTAACTGCAAAGAAAGAACCACAGGAATTTATTATGCAAGGATAATTCTTGCCAGCACAAAAATAATTAAAAAATGAATTCAGTTTTGAGGGTTGGGTTGTGGCTCAGAGGTAGAGCACTTGCCTTGCAGGTGAGGGACCCCCAGGTTCGATCCTCAGCACCACATAAAAGTAAATAAGTGAAATAGAGGTATTGGTCCAACTACAACTAAAAAATAAATATTAAAAAATGAATTAGTTTTTGAGAAAAGACAAGGGAGCCTACAAGACTTAGCAAAAATTACAGATCACAGCCAGGCATGGTGATGCATGTCTACACTCCCGGTGGATCAAGAGGCCGAGGCAGAGATTCACAAGTTTGAGGCCAACCTGGGCAACTTAGGGGTACCCTGTCTCAAAATTTTATTTTTTAAGGGCTGGGGATGTGGTTCAGTACTAAAGGGGGGAAAATTACAGATCCTGGAAGAAAATGCTTAAATGGAGAAATTTCTGAGCATTGATTGAATTTTTTGTTGTGACTTAGGAAAAAGACCTCTGTTTTCTGAAAAGCTATTACCCTGTGTAGGGGTCATGTAACAAAGTAACCCCCCCCCAGTTTAGTGGCTTAAAATGATAAGAATTTATTATCTTAACAATGTCCCTGAGATCATCTTGGTGTAGATTCCTGGGTGCTTCTGGCTCAAGGTCTGTCTTGAGGTGGCAGTGGAGCTGTTGCCTGGTTGTGGTCATTTCAAGGTGAGCTAGGCAGACAGTCTGCTCTCAAGCTCGTTGGTGTGACTGATTTCATTGGGCCTCTCCAGAGGCTAGCTGAGTGTCCTAATGGGAGAGCAGTTGGTGAGTGTCAGAGAGGACCCAAGATAGAAGCTACAATCGTCACCTAAACTCAGAAGTGACATACCATCGCTTCTGTCATATTCTGTGCCTTTTTAAGGGATTCACCGAGTCTAGTCATACTAAAGGGGAGAGCATTACACCGGGCCTCACTACCAGGAACTGAGGATTTTTGAAGGCCATCTTAGAGAATACCTTACCACAGGTCACCTTTGGGGAGTGACCTTTTCACATGGCCACATTCCTGGGTTTTTAGTCCGAGGAAGTATCACATACATTTTCTAAATTGGTGGGGGCGGGAGTGGGGTGGTATCCTTTGGCTCTGTTTCCTGATTGCTCTCTAGAGACCCCAACTTCCTGTCCACCCCCCTTCTTGCCTGGCCTCGATGGCACCTACTGGTTCTTGGGTCTCTCCCACCTTAGGAAAGTGTCTCTGGAGGGGAATCCGCTGCCGAAGCAGTCATATCACAAGCTCATGGCGCCCGACAGCCCGTGAGGTTCCCTGCCCCATCCACGCCCCCAACTTTCTGTCCCTCATTCCAAGCCATCTTAGCCCCCACCTTTCCATGTCCTTCCAGCACCTCCCTCAGGAGTCCTCAGTCCCTGCTCCTTTGTCTTGATTCCCAAGAGCGCCCTTGGCACCCGTGTTTGCACCTCTCTGCTGCAGGATCGCCCACCTGTCTCTGCGGAACAACAACATCGACGACTACGGGGCGCAGCTGCTGGGCCAGGCGCTGTCCACGCTGCACAGCTGCAACCGGACCCTGGTCTCGCTCAACCTGGGCTTCAACCACATCGGGGACCAGGGCGCGGGCTTCCTGGCAGACGTGCGTGGGCTGCGGCGCGGGGGCTGCCCGGCGCGGGGTGGCGCCGCGGCTCACCAGCGCTCGGCCTCCGCAGGGGCTGCGGCTGAACCGCTCGCTGCTCTGGCTGTCCCTGGCTCACAACCGCATCCAGGACAAGGGCGCTCTGAAGCTGGCCGAGGTGGGGTTCTCGGTGGGTTGAGGCCGGGGAGGCCGCCCCAAATCTTCCCGGAGGCCAGCGTCTGAGGGTGCCGGCCTCGTCCCAGGTCCTGCGTCCCTTCGAGCTGACACACACCGAGGTGGTGGAGCGCCGGCGCCTCCTGCTGGAGAAAGGGACGCAGGAGCGGTCGCGATCGGTGAGGAGCCCCCCAGCCCCGGAGCGATCTGAGAGCAGCTTCCCGGCTGGGAGGACCTCCGCTCTCGGTCCTCCCTCCCTGCACTGTGACGGTCCTTCTCTCCGAAGCTCGGCTCTAGGTGCACAGGTCTAACTAGTGTTCACCAGGCCCCTGCCTGAGGGCTCCAAATGCAAACTTCTCTATGGGCAGAGTGTATGGGAAAGGATACTAGATTGACTGTCTGGGACCTGAATCTAGCTCGGCCACATACCAGTCTGCGACCTTGGACATGTTACTTAACCTCCGTGCCTGTTCTCACATCTGTAAATGGGAATAATTGTGCCTATCTCCTAGGATTAGGAGCATTAAATGAGCTCATTCATGTAAAGCATTTGGAACGGGGCCTGGCACTTAGCTCAAGAAAAGCTAGACTCTGTTTCTCCCTCAGTATGGGATCCCTTACCTTGACCCCAGCTCATCCCCACCCATACCTCTGCTCTTCTCACCCCAAACTCCTCAACCCAGGGAAAGAGCATCAGGGGAATGTTTCCAGCATTTAGGAAGAGAGGTGGGCGGTGGGTGAGGTGCTGTCTGCCCAGCGCTACCCAGGCTTGGGCTTCTCATCATTCCCTGTGGAGCGCGGGCTCCAGTGCCTTCCTCTGCCCCTTTCCATTTGTCAACACAGCCCTCCTCCTCTCGACATGCGGACTTCAAATCAGACCGTGACAAGGCCCAGGCGCTGGGGATGACCTCTGTTGCATTGACGGACAAATCAGAAAAGATGCAGGCAATGAAAGCCCCGAAGGGCCTGAGCAAGAAGAAGGAGAAGCCAGGGGTAGGTGTGTCGGGGACAGGCGGCCGGGTGTTGGGGGGGACAGGGCAGGATGTGGGCGCTGTTCAGAGGGCGGGAGGGAGAATGCCCAGGGGGGCCTTTCAAGTTGCAGCACACCTGCTGTCCGTCTCCCTGGGAGATGGGACTTTCTGTTCTCCTCTCCTCCTCCACAGGAAGTGGTCAAGAAGGAGGAGAAGTCAGGGTCTGGACAGTCACCCACACAAGGAGCCCCCAAGAAAGAAGATGCTGCCAAGTCAGGCAAGGGGAGTAAGTGTGGGGCGCTCTGGGGCCCCTTCCCTGCGGGGAGGGCACACTGGGCTGCATGCGAGGGCACTTCTTGGCCTGGAGGTGTCTGCCAGGACTTGGTCTTGCCTCTCTCCCACTCTTTTTCCTTCTCACAGCAGGCTGATGTGGGGGCTCCATGGCCCAGACATCATGACAGCTCATTTCTTTGGGGCTGGACGTTTGAGGACCTGTCCTCAGCAAAGGACTCTACCCACCTCAGGGGCCCCTTCCGGCTGTCTTGATTGCACCCAAAGTTCTGATAGGGGGCCTCACTTGGTCCACCCTCTCTGGGGAGCGGGTGGTATCCGGGATCTGCTTTGTGCAGCCTCACTCCTTCTCTGGCCCAGAGGTCACCATCCCTGAGCAGAAGCAAAGCAAGGGGAAAGGGACCAAGCTGGGGAGCAAGGAGAAGCGCAGCATTCTTCTGGAGTCAGAGGTGAGCTGCAGGAGAGGTGGGGTTGGGCTTTCCCGGGCTTCCGCCCCCAGCTCCTCCAGGAACGGGGTGTACTGTGGCAACAGCCACTTTCTCTTCAGACGTGGTCCTCTTCTCCCCCTTTCCACCATGGGCCTGCTCTCTGGGAATAACGGGCTCAGCGCTTCCCCTCTCCTCCCAACTTGGGCACCCCCCCACCTTTCCTTGTCTAATAGTAGTCCACACCTTGGATCTGTCCTCCCAATGGAGGCTGCCTCCCTAAAGGCCACCCGCTCACCATCACCACCCCACCATTAGCTTGCACACTTGCGTAAGGAGCAGAATGTGTTCTCTGGCCCTCTCAGCAGCTCCCAGGGCACTTTCCAGTCATGACACTGCCCCGCCCCACCTCCGCACGGCTCCTCCCCCAGACCCTCTCTGCTTTGCCCCTGGGTCTTCCCTCTCAACTTGGATCAGCCTGCTCCCTGCTTCAGGATCATCATGGGCTGCCGAGTTAGCACCTCCCAGTTCTTCTGTCAGCTGCCTGAGGGTCTCCTCCTCAGACTCCCTCAACACCGCCGCTCTATACTGTCTAGGCAGGGAAGGACCGGGTCACCTTTAGGATTCTTCCCTGGCACCAAGACAAGCTCTTACAGAAGAGGTAGTGAGACTTGGGTTTCTGCGGAGTCTTGGGCTGGCCCTGTTCATCACCAGGTGTCATATACCTTCACGCGTCAGCTCACCAGCCACCAGCCACCTCTTGTAGGAGGCCGTTCCTGGCCCCCGAGACTGGTCTAAATGCCCCACTTCTTGGCTCCCATGGCACTCCAAGCTTACCTGTGTTAATTGTTCTGCTCTACTGCATTCCAGTTTCACTCTCTGGCTCCCAACACTGCAAAGCTTCTGGAGGATATATTTATCTTTGTGTCCCCAGCACCAAGGACAGAGCCTGGACTTTTTTTTGTGGTGCTGGGGATTGAACCCAGGGCCTTGTGCATGTGAAGCAAGCACTCTACCAACTGAGCTACATTCCCAGCCCTCAAAACATATTTGTTGAATGAATGAATGAATGAATGGCCTGTTGACCAGCTCCCCTCTCCTCTGCTGCAATTAGTATCTACTTTAGCAGCTGGTTGCTGAAACTACTGAGATGATCAACCCTCTCCTGGAGCCCGTCGAGCACCGGGATGGGAAGGTTTTCATGCCTGGGAACAAGGTCCTTTTGCACCTCAGCCTCCTCCGTATGTTTGCCGACCGACCCTGCCCCATGCCGTGGGGTTGGCTGCCTGGGTACCTGTGCTGGCTCCCTGGGGGTGCACCTGGTTCTCCCACAGTTGGGCATCGAGTCTCGCATGGGCCAGAGAGGGAGAGGAAGTGCTGGGTCAGGGAGGAGGCTGAGGATATTGAGAGGCAGATGGAGGGAAGGGGGTGCAAAGGGTGGAGGGAATTCAGACAAGGAATAAGCGGGGATGGGCTCATGGAAAGGTGGTCTTAGGGTGAGTCTGGGGATGAACAGTGGAGGAGCCGGGCTGTGGATGCGGGTGGTGTAAGAGTCTGTACTTTCCACCAGGAAACCGCATCACAGAGGTGGGGCTGGAGGCCTTCCTGGCCACAGTGCAGTACCAGGTGCAGTTCAAGTCCAAGAGCATGTCCAAGGGCCCAGTGGGGCTGCTGTGGCTGTCTCTGGCGGTAAGTCCCTGTCCCCGTCTTGTGCCATTGCTGCAGGCAGCTTCTCTCTCCTGATTCCTGATCCAAGGAAGATGTGCAGTCCCCAGTTTTTTTTTTTTAAATCACAACATAACTTCTGACCCTCCCTGCTGCGCTTTGGTACACGGGATTGAACCCAGGGATCCTTTACCACTGGGCGACAGCCCCAGTTCTGAGAATTAACTAGTCCCAGAGGACTAACTTTCATTCTTGTCAGCTGTCACTCTTCCTTTTCCTCTACTAGAAAAACTGCTTTGACCCACAGTGTCCCACGTATACTACGATCCAGGAGCTGATGCTGCCGAGAGACCCCATCAAGACCAAGATCAGGGAGGAAGAGGTCGTGGCTTTCCCTACCTAGCCCTGCTCCGCAGTCTTCCCCGAGCCTCGGCCACAGAAGCACCTCCTGGCCCTGTGTGGACTGACCTCTCCAGGGGAGACCTGGGCCCAATAACAGTCTATTGCTGTACTTTTCTTTGACATTGTCAACTTTGTTCTAGAAATACTCAGAATACTTGAACTCGGAGAGTCTGTTCATTATTACAAGGCCAGAGATGGCAGAACAGTGATGGTTTGAATGAGTCTGCAGTTCTGCTGGGGATATCTCAGTCCCTCTTACATCAGGCAGCCAGGGAGTCCCTCCTCTGGCTCCTGGGGGCTAGGTTTTGCCCAGGCAGCCCGCTCTCTCTCCAGCGTTCCCAGAAGAGATGTGCTTTGCTAGGAGCTGCATTCAGCCTCTGGTGTCGGAGGCAAGGACTTAGGCTTGGTGACAGACATCATCCGTGGGAGAGGGAGGAGCAGACAGGCGGGGAGGAACTGAAAAGGCCAGGCCCGGCCCCTAGCATACTCCCTCCTGCTTTTCCGACCTGACCAGCCCCGTGTTTGGTTTGGAAGAGGCCCAGTTTAAAAAAGTGCGAAGTCTTGGACAGGCCACCTGGGAGAGATTGCTAAGTATATCGACACCTACACAGTGAAGGTTGGGCACTAAACATAGTAGTCAGCAACTGAAACCAGAGACACCAGGCAGCTGTGGGGGTCCTGGCATGGGCCAACCTTGTCCTGGGTGCCACCTCCACTGAGAATAAATGTGCCCAGAGCACAGGACTGGCTTCTGGGGAGCCTCCTGAGAAGGTACAGAGGTCACACACCTGCCTCACCTGAGCAGCCTGCACCTGCTCCACATCCCTCACTACTTTGCCTCTACTCACCCTAAACTGCCATCCCACCTGATGTGTGGCTTTGGCTTTCACAGGGCCCTGCGAGTGCCTGCATCCCTCTTGCTCTGTTGGCCCCCACTGCCTGTCTCCAGGAATAACCTGCCATTTCTTTGAACTCCCACACAGAGCACCTTACCATACGCGATGCTGATGGGCCAGGCCAGCTTCTCTTTACCCCTGCCCAAGGCCTCTGAAGTTCGAGGACCTCTTTCAGCCCTTATCTTTATCTCCATAATTTTAGTGATGGTTAGTCCTGGTGACGTGGCTGTCTATGGGAGGTGGGGGGAGCTGGCCAGGCCTAAGATGAGCCGCCACTGTGTTTTATATTCCTGCTGTTGAATGAGGGTGGCTCCCTGGGTCCCTGGGGTCCCCTGCACCTTTATATGTGTAAACTGAGCTGTGATTGTTTTTGGCACTGGGAGTTGAAAGCAGGGGTGCTCTACCACTGAGACCGGGTATGAGTTGCCCGGGCTGGTCTTGAACTTGTGATCCTCCTGCTTCAGCCTCCGGAGTTGCTGGGATCACAGGCACGTGCCACAGTGCCCAGCTGAGTTTAGCATGTTTTTGCACTTTTTTTTTTTTTTCCCCAATTGTAGATGGACACAGTACCTGTATTTACTGTTTATGTGGTGCTGAGGATGGAACCCAGGGCCCCACACGTGCTAGCTGAGTGCGGTACCACTGAGTCATCACCCAGCCCCAGGTTTTTACGTTTTTGTGTGTGCAGGAACTATAACTTACTTTGCCCAGCCTCTGTTCAGGGAGCAGGCATCTGCAGCTCCGGGAGAAAACATGGTAAGGCCTGGATGTGGAGGTTTCAGGTCGAGGGGGGCTGCCTCAGTTCCCTCCCCGTATTCCTGGCCAGCCTCAAGGGAGCCTTTTAGGGTAGTAGTTCGAAGAATCACACACACCACAATTGAAGAATATTTAACTTTTCTTAAAAAAAAAAAAAAATCTTAACCATGAAAGGAAGAAAATAAGAGTATACATTATCTTAACAGCAAAACAGTCATTTCCATATCTATATTTTATATATTATATATATATTTATATATATATATATATATGTATATATACACCTAGCACAGTGTGTATATTCTATTCAGTGGGATGTGGAGTGAGGACATGGGCCAGTGCTGCAGTGGCCCCTGGGATGGTCCTGGATTAATTCAGGGTCTCCAGTATTTAAATCCCCAGCCCTTCTCCTGGGGTCCGTTTTCAGCTCCGTACCTGCTACAGGGTTTTCTACAGAGGGAGGCTGGGGATGAGCTGTAGGAAGCGGGGGGAGCTCAGCACCAGGCTGGAGGAGGGGCTCTGGAGCTAAGTGGGGCTGGAGCCGGGAGACCTTCTTGTCCTTGGGGGACAGTGGCGTGTGGTCTGGTTTAGCTCTGCTTTCAGCCCTGACCCTGGTTGCTGACCAGAGATGCCAGTGAAGCCCCCCTTCCCTTAGCAGTCCCTCTATAACCACCTCCAGCCCTCCAGGGACAGAAACAATAAGGTCAAGTTATTTACAATAGCAAAGATGCACATACAATACATACATATTTATAAGAAACCAAAGTGACAAAGAGGAGGGGTAGGCGCCCTGCTCACTGGGGGGCCTGTGAAGAGGGGAGGGAGAAAGTGCATTCATACAGCAGCCTCCTCCCCTCCTCTCGCCCATACTCTGAGCGGGGGTCTTTCAGAAGCGGTCAGCATGCTCAGGAGACAAAGGCCTCGGAGGGGTGGGCTAAAGGGAGGGAAAAGACACTGGAACTTGACTCCGTTCTGAGCAGACCAAGCAACATGCAGCACCCCCCCTCCCCCGGCCTCAGCTGATCCGGTTCCTCTATGGCCTTTTCCACAGGAGGCTGGAGGGCTACAGTCCAGGTGATGTGTCTGTGGCGCTATCGTCCAGCGGGGCGTCAAAGCCTGTAGGGGATGGTGAGGGTGAGGAGCTGGCCAGGCCTGAGGTGCCCACCTCTGTGCTCTGCCCACCTGCTTCCTCAGGTTCACCCTTCTGGGCCCTCCACCATGACAAAGCTCTCTTCTCCAGCCTGAACAGGGGTATCTACCGAGCCCCACTTTGCCACGCCCAAAGCCTCTAGGTCAGGCCGTCGGGGCTTGGCTTTCTTGAGTTGGGACGTGTCTCTGGCCCACCTGCTCGGTTCTGAACCTTCTGATGAGAGCACAAGGCTTCAGTTCTGGTTCCCACCTTTAGGGGAACTTTTGTGGGCCTCTCTAAAAAAAGCCCTTTCTGAAACTGAGGGGATGAGAGGGTTACACTCAAGGGGGAATAGGACCCCTGCAAACACCTCTCCCACTCCCTGGCCATTTCCTCCTGAGCTGCTGGGCCCCTCCCTCGTGGTAGATCCGAGGCAGGAACTGGCTTCACTCACCGTCCTCAGGGCAGGAACCTGGTTCATGGCTGTTCTGGGAGTCAGAGGCCAGGGCTTCCTTGGCTGGAGGTGAGAGGGAGCTGTCTGTCCACCTGGCTGCCTCTGTGTGGAAACTGCCCACAGGTGTGGTGCCACCAGATGACTCTCCTCCAAGGGACTTCAGTAGCTCTCTGTGGGCCAGTTCCATGTCCTGGAAGAGTTTCAGGGGCAAGGTCTGCTAGAGTCCTTCTACTCACAAGGCTGCTGGGGGAAGAAGGTGTCACACTGTCTAATCCAGGCTGGGCCCTGGGGATGGGACTGTGATTTAAGGATGTGGCTGGGTGGACTGAGGCCAGGAAGACACAGACCTCATTCCTAGGGAATGCGTCCCTCACCTTGAGCCTGTTGAGCTTGTGGGTGAGCTGCTCAATGGTGCGGAAGATCCTGCCCACGTCCCTGAGGGCCAGGCTAGGGAGAGAGCGGCTAGAGCGTCTTTGGTCTCCACTGCTTCCCTGCACCTGGGGCTGAGGCTGTGTCTGCAGGCCAGGGTGGCGATCAGGCTGGGAGGGGCTTGTGGGCGCCCCAGAAGAGTCAGTGCTGGAGTCCAGGGGTCCTGCTGGCATGCTGACGTAAAAACAGTTCCCTGTGCCCACAGCAAGAGGAAGAGGTTAGGAGGCACACAGACACATCTAAGCCACCCTCCCGCTCCATTTCCCATGCCGATTGGCAGAACGTGGCCCCCACACTGCCTGTAAAACCCCTCTCTCTAGATGGTGATTTTGCTCAGGCTGGCCACATGCCAGGAGAAGGAGCTCAGTGGTGAACTAAAGGGAGAGGGGCAAGGCCATAATTTCTTTTGGAAAACGCGAAGATCTCCCATCTCCTCTTGAAGGGAAGGGGAAGATGTTGGGCTGGTTTTAGATTCTTTTGAAGGGGAGCAGGCAGGGAGATTTTTTTTTTTTTTTTTTTTTAATATTTTTTAGTTCCCAGCGGACACAACATCTTTGTTGGTATGTGGTGCTGAGGATCGAACCCGGGCCGCACGCATGCCAGGCGAGAGAGCTACCGCTTGAGCCACATCCCCAGCCCAAGGCAGGGATCTTTTTCACCCTGTCTCAGCTTAAGTTCTGGGGATGAATTTCAACACTGCCCCTGTCCCGTACCTCACCACGTGGGCACCTCGACCCATCCGAGGTCAGAGGCAGCCAGAGGAAGAGGGCAGAGGGTCCCTGAAGGCAGCAGGATGGGTAAGTACTGAAGAACCTGGGAGGCTGAGTAGCCTGTTCCCACAGTGGCATAAGGGGGCTGGGTGGGGCTGTTTGGAGTGCCAGGGCCCTGGGCACTCATAGACTTCCTGCCTCGTATCTCAAAAGTCTAGGTGTCAAGCCCAAGGTCTGAAAGGGGGCTGGACACCTCTGGGCGAGTGGTTTCTGAGAGCCGGAGACTGGACTTGACGGTGTGGGATCTATTCCGTTTCGGAGCCCACACACTGCTACCTGCCCATTCCAGACAGTCGAGTGAGTGTGTAGGGCAGCGTGTGTTGGGTGGGGTCTGATACCCAAGGTCCAGCTCTGCCCACAGTCCCCTGCTCCAGCCTGGCCTGGCTGTGGCTCAAGGAGAAGGTGATTGATTACCCGTAGCCTGTGATGCGCCTTCCACTTCGGGTGGCTCAGGCTTGGACTGGCCACTCTCTGGTAGTGCAGGGACAACCTTGCTGCCTGCCACCTCAGCTGCACCGCCACCACCACCACCACCACCAGAGACAGGAAAGACCAAAACACAAGAACAGGAAAGGGAGAGCAGGAGGAGAGGGAAGAAGTGGGGGTGGCAGAAAACAAGAAAGGGGAAGAACAAAGTGAACACAAGATCACCCACAACCCGTCCCAGGAGGCTGCGGAGGACTTTCCACCACTTCACCAAGAGGAAGGAAGGTCAGTTCCCAGAAACCCAGG